TAAGTAAAGTGCATTGACTACTATTATTTAATCCTAATTACTCCTATCCGAGAACCAAAAAATAAAAAAAGCGTTACAGTCCACAACAATCTATATACGTATCTATACAGTGTTTTCGAGTAAAATATCATTTATAATAATGGGTACATTAGTTGGTATATGCACAATGTACGGTGGTTTATGTTTTAATATAGAACGATTCAACAACCAACCTCAAACACATGCTGTCGTCATTAAATCAACTATATGCAATATTCGATTAAGGTGTTAGAAATGCGCTGGCTAAAACGAATGTGAACAAAAAAAAAAGAATACACATATATATATATATATATATATATATATGTACCAATCGAATGTTAAGTGAAACATAGGTACACAATTATATGATTATAATATTATGTATGAATGTATGAGTATAAGTAATCACATTTAAATTATTAAAATATTCGACCCGATACCCGATGAAAAAGGCATGGTTGTAAAACCCAAAAGACAGAAATGAAAAATATAAATCTTATAAATATATTCGTTTCACTGCAGAAAACATTTCAAAAATCATTCAAATTTCAATTTGTTAATTTAAACTACGGACTAAAGTAAAATGTACGAGAAATATGTGCCAGATACGTGTACCACATAATTTGATCTAGGATCTAGCTTGTAGCTTTTATATATATTTTACTCCATCTCCACATATTATACATCAATCATGAACTCTAAAATACCCGCATCACCGTTACTCGCCCTTCTTGTCGTTTTTCTCAGTCCATTTTATCTAGTTCATAGTATAGACATTAAACTATGTATAAAAACCAAAACAGTTATAAAATATTCTAACAATAGTTTAATACTTAGGGCGATTAACTTTTTATAAACATACCTAAAAATAACACATGACATTTTTTCAAAGTAATAAAATAGGTACTAATAATACTCGTTTTATATTTTCATAAAACAAGTTAAAAGTAATACCTAACTTGAATTGGTTGCGTCCAAGACAATTTAAAATTATTAAACGCGACGGTCACGATAACTGGCAACTTTGAATACAATTTATTAATAATTATTAATTAGTAATAACGATACTACCTATTTCGGTACCTCGTACAATATTATTGTTATTTGTTATTGTTTATCGCATTGGTGTGACCTGTTGGCTGTCGTACGGCAGTATAATAGTGCGTTGCGGCAGTGCCACAGTGGCAATGTCGGTGATGACGGTGGTAGTGGTCGCGGTGACCTTCGGTAATGACTCGTTATCGTCGCGCGTCGTGGTAGTGTGGTAGGTGGTACTTGCACAGAATAAGTTATTCTGTGGTACTTGTGCGCGCACGTTATCGCGGTAGGTATGTCGTATGTGCCACATGCGGTTATGAACGGTTGTGAACAGTTTAGTTGTTACTTGTTACTTGTTCATCTTAGTCGTTTGACGAATGTGGTTAACGTTGTGTTTATTAAATTAATAGTAGTATTTACGTTTGTTGTTTCGAAGCGGTTTGGTCGGTTTTCGATTGTGGGTGTTGGAAAAGATTATAAATCCAACAGATTTTTACAATACATTAAATTAAAGACGCTATATGATCACTCCGACGCGTGTTTTCTCCGATCGGATGTGCGAATCGAATGTGAATTAAATTCCTGAGTTCGAATATGACTCGATGACGCCGGAATTTTCTTTTGTGACCGTCGCCATACACACTGCACAGGATTAATAAACTCGGACCCCGCCACAAACAGGTAACTTGGGTTTTTACCGAGATCGGTAATATAATTTCTGTTGCTGTAGCTTGGAACTACGGATATTAACAGTGCGCTGAATTTATTAAGTATAATAATTATCGATGTGCAAAACGCGTTTGTGCGTATGATATATTTTACTGTTATTTTCTGTTAATAGTGTTAACTAGTGAGAACCATTTACTGTATTAATTATTATCTCCCAATGATAACTACGTAATGCCATAATATCAATATTACATAATAATTATAAGTAAAAAAACACATTTAAATAAAAATAAATCAATATTTTTACAAATACTTAAGTCTGTGTAAAAATTGGTAGAAACCCTAAGTTTAGAATCTCGTTTGGAATAATGTGGAATTATATATGTATTATTTCCATGATATTTAATTTTATATTTTTAATTGGTAGGTATGTTATAAAAATAAACCTATACATTTCGTATGCAATCTGTACTAGAATATATTCCAAAAACTATCGGTTGAAATCTGGTAGACGTTTTTACCAAAGGACGCAACTATGTAGTATCAACCAACCAGTGAGTCGGAGTATAGTTGCCCGTCGTCAGGATTTCGATGTTTTTTTTATTATTCTCCCATAACTCTTTGCAATATTGTAGGTATTATTACCTATCTGCGTTCGTTGTTTTGGTTTCATCTCATACCACGTTGTGTTTGGATTTCTGTTTTTCAAGTAAATTTTTACTTCTTATTGACTGATATTGATAAATTACGCAGTTTTAATAAAAAATCAGGAAAAATTCTAAATATACATTGCATAGTATTTTTATTCTTATAGTTTTATAATTAAATACACCCTGAATGTAGGGAAAAACACCAGGGAAGGGAGACTGTTGATTAAATAATAGTGCGTCGGATTCAATTTGAATTTTTGTAACGAAATATACTATGACTGCTTGTAAAACGTTAATGCGTTTATTATAGATGGGTATTTACATATTTATAAGGATAAATTCAAAAATCTACACGTGCTTCGTGTGTTTCATATAATTATATCAAAAGCGTCAATAAACCATAACTATATTATTGTAATTGCTTGGTTTTAAAACTACTTATATAGCCATATGGTTCCTACGGGTCGATACGACTTATAAATCTTCCCACATTAATGATTTCTTATTACCTGTACAGCGGTATCAGTCTCTTTATCGATACTCATAATAACATCGTTTTGTTATCGCAAGCAGACCATCTTTGAGATAAATATCTTTCTTATACTCTCAGTAGTATTAGTAACAGCCAACAAACATTATGTCAGATTACGATTTACGAAAAAAATACGTATTAACATTTCTCTGCCCACTTTAGGTAAACATTTTTAAGCGCCGACCTCCACAAATCCCAATACTAAATAAATTAAACCTTACATTTTAAAATATTAACATGACATTTTTTGTTGATTTTATAAAATCATAGTAAAACATATCGTTATTATGTTAGTTTTCATTCTTTGATTGATAGTCTTGAATTTTTTAATCTCGAACGATTTTCTTTAATATATTTTATCAAACATGTTAATAAATGATTTTAAAAATTACTCATATAAAATGTGGAATTGTACACAACAAATTTTTATAAATCTATGTATAAAATTAGAAATATATTATAATACCTGTCATTAGTATACCTTTCTTTGTAGTTTAGATCAATTTCCTTAGAATCTATGGTTGCATTGTTAAAAGTACATTTATATAATTATATTAATTATATAGTACTTTTTAAAGCATGAAGTAATAATTAATAAACTAACTTTGATTTTTTAGAAATATTTTTTGATCTTGTTAAAGTAAAACCATGCGAGTCACGATAGATTTCGAGGGAAAATTTGGGTCGTGGTCCTAAAAAAATTAAAAACCACTGCTTTAGATATTGGTGTTTCAAAAAATGCACATACCTACTCAACTTTCCCACTTGTGACACTGTATCTATACCCATAACTAAAACCGCCTAGCATATCCTTAGCATCTTTTACTTTCAATAATACGAAAATAATGTAATTTCTTATTTATTATCGCGAGCTTGTTATTCGTATAAGCTAATATAAATATAGATATACTATTATATTGTATACCTAAGGTTGGGGCTATACAAGGCGTATCCGTCGAGCGTATTCCGCCGCGGATGTTTGTACAATATCTAAAAAAAATGGTAAACCCAATAATTATTGTATCAATAATATAAATATTGCATCATCACCATCGAATAGCACAAATTAATAATAGACATTCATCGATCGATCATTTGCAGTAGTTATATAGTTCGTAGGACAAGGTTTACTGTTTACCACTTTTTTGACGACACTACAAATTGAACTTTTTTACGATTGTTATTTAAAAAATTGTTTTTAACAAAACATAATTATACCCCCTTAAATTAAAATTAAGTTACCAACCACAAATTATAAACACCAATTACTAATTAAAATAATGTATTCACTTAGATGGTGCTTTTTAAATAGATATGAAATATATAATCTATTTATTATTTATTTATATTATTTATTGAGTAAATTAAATAAAGCAAATTCCTAGATAAAATATTGAATAATATTCGCGTAAAATTATTGTAATCATTATTGTAATTATTGTGTAAACGCAACGTTTTCCGTCACCAGTATAGCCCATCCTAATTTAAAACAATGTAAAATTAAGAGTTTGCGTTTTTATTATTCCAGCGTTCGTCCGCCAAAACGCAAGCCGGCCGGCGTTTTCTGCTGCGAATTAAAACGCGGCGTATACGTCCGTCGTGTATAGCTACTCCGATATAAATCAACGCATTTTCAATTCGACGGAAAACGCCGTGTATAGCCCCAGTCTAATACACTGACTAACGTTTACGTAAAGTTACGGGATCGTATTATTATTATCGGATACACTAACCGCGCATCTGGATAAACGCATTCAAACTGCCGCTTTGAAGTTTGTGTTCACTTTAAACATTATTAATCGAAATATCGTGTACGATGTAGTACATATAGTTTGTCTGACCATTTATAGGTGCGCTAAAACTTTATTATATATATCACTGTAGTCTCGACTTTCTATCCCTTACGGAAAAAAAGAACAAAAGAATTTATGCAGATACAAAAGAGTCAATAATCTGCGTCAGCCGAGACGGCGGTAAGTGTACTCTAACTGTTAATGTACCTACTGTATTATGTAAATAAAGCATATACGACAATAGTATTTTTTTGCGTGGTTAATGCACAAAGGTTATTTTTTTTATATAATGTATTATATGTTGAATGCTACAGCTGACGATATCTGAATTGTGTATGAATTTAAAATCCTTATCGCGTAAAACAATATTTTCTCCTACACTACATAATATTATGACGTCGTCAAAAATGCGTTAAATATCCTGCCCTTATCGCCACCGCAGTTTTTTAAATTCTATTCTGACATACATTTATCACGTATCAGTTATCGAACAGCCAACAGCCATCCGGTTTACGCAGCCTCGATGTACTTTCCATTAATTATATTTTAAATGAACTAAATTTTTCTTATTACCTACTCAGTAGTCAATATAGTGCTTTGTTATAGATATTATATTGTTTTATCGATAAGTTTCTAACAGTTTTTATCAATCATAAATTGCAAAAATATTATATAATGTTTTTTTTTTTTTAGAATGTAAATTAAAATTAAGGATAAAAAAAAATAAAAAATCTAAAATTCGTATTACTATAAAAATACCATATTTTTACAAGAACTATTTCAATTTTATGAAAACAATTTTTAAGTAATTAAAATCGTTCTAGATCCGAGTATATCATGTGTACCTATATTACGTTAGTAGTTTAACACATTATCTATTATTCTGGCATTTTTGTACGTTTTATTTTTTTTTAACTTTGTCATGGAAAGCGAATGTTTAGGTAACACAAAGAAAGAAGAAAGGTGTTTTCGTTATAAATTTATACATAAAATATCAATGGTTATATAAGATACTATTCTTCCATTCTAAAAATATTAATAATTATTTTAATTGTCAGTATAATTTTACGATCGTTTCTTTGTATGTAATAAATTTTATTTTTTTATTGGAAGTGATGAAGTTTTATTGCCAACTTTTATGATTGTGGTTGAGTTAATTATACGGTTACCAGTTGCTGCTCTTTCCCCCATGAACACTCATATTTGACTATGGGACGCTGCTTTCTCTCTAAAGGATATAATTACTTATATAATATAATATTATAATGTACTATAATATAACCTAATTTGATCTTTTTTTCTACATATATGTATATAATTTACTTGTCAATAATGTGAATATGTGATACACTGTCATCCAATAATTGAAATATGTGTCAAAACACTCAAAACCTAAAATGACTAAACGGGCGAGAGACACGTAGGTACATCCGGAATTCCCAGGGCTGTTGACTAAATAATAATGTAGTCGTTATTCATAATATATAGTATATTTAATATTATAATATCTATCTTCGTATCTACCTTTATCAGGAGAGATTGTCAACTCGGCCAATTATTGGTTAGATAAAAAGGTAATGAAAAGGTTTAATGTTTAATGAAAGGTTTACTAATTGTATTTCCTTACATGTCATTGGCCGATTGCATTATGAAAACTAACAATGTTAACATTTATATTAACATATCTACAAGTTGTATTATTTTTTTAAGTTTTTGGCATATTACACTTATTTAATTTCTAAAACTTGACGATTAGTATTATTTATAAAAATATATTTTAATACTTTTATATTGTCAACTGTTTTTTTCTGGTGAAGTTACCACTCAAATTGGTGCTATTGTTTATGCAAATTTACATGCGTCACTGTCTTGGTCTGTATGTATATGCAATCTACACAGGTTTATGATATTCGTTGTTTTAGTCCAATATGTTTCGTTTTCTTAATAATATTGACTATTGTACAGATTATTAATTTTAAATTATATCAATTTAAATTTAAAAAAAAAATAATAATAAATATAATAATATATAAATAC